TGAGTTGACTGTGAAATTTTTATTATGATATTTATATGACACATCCAAGAAAAACTTCTGTATAACAACAATAAAAAAACAACAATAAAAAAATCACATCTGCTCCATTCGTTTTTGGTAGTCACTGCATTTGGTGGTTAAACTGATCGCATTAACGCCCAAACAATACAATAACACCTACGTTATTTTATGTTAAATAAAAACGCCCCCACACGTCATCGAAGTTAACAACGAGCCGCTGCTCTAAGGGGGATTGCAGCCCCTCTGTACACGTACATGCGCCCTCTATTAGGCCGACCGAGCAGTTATAGGGGGTGCCTGGCTGCTGCCGGCACCGTGCACTTGACCTACAGAGCAGAAAAGTAGGTCAGGCGGGGTCGAAAAACTCAGTCAGAGGGCAAGAGCCACTGTTTCTCTGTTGGGCCAGTGGTAGGTCCTCGATAAGTGCACGTGGGTACGGAAATACCCCGTAATTTAATGAGCCTTTTTGAGAGACAAAAAAATTAATTTAAATGTTATCATTCTTCCATTAACTCGATTTATCCACAATTCTCAGGTCTTGTACGATAATTTTCTATGCAGAAAAGGGAACAAGAATACTTCTAATGATATTTTCAAACAAAAAAAGTGCGGATTATCTATAAATAACCCCAAAATATGGAATATCATTTTTGTTTGTGTTAAATAATATCTATCAAATTGAAGGATTTGAAGGACATATTCGAAAAAGTGACATACAATCGTGTTTCAATATATATATAACAATTTGTTTCTGTAATCTGTAGATTTTCTGTTTCCTCATTAGCCTCTAAATTTTGTGGAATACCAACCAAAATATACAGTTTTATGCAAATGCCTAATAATAGCTTCGTTCCAGCCGGACCGAGAACCGATCCTGGGACGGTAATTTTTAGTCGCCCACTTATTTGAAAAGTTTGATCGTTTCTCAAGATTAACAAATGAATTGACTAATAGGAAATTACCGTTCTAGGGTGGTTCTCTCTTCCGGTTGGAACAAACATATTTTTAACGCCCCGTAAATTTTATTTAAGAAGATAAGAAATTTTGAGCCTAACCGACAATTCGTGTAGTCTGTTTTTGTTCATAATTTATCGTGATTATCAATGAAAATACGCATGAAACTTTACTTTCTAACACACCACCAGAAGATATTGGTATATATTGGTTTATTATAATGATTTTCTTGGCTTCAAATCGAATGTTTTTTTGGTGTTTCCGTGTTAGTGTTTTTTGGGGCGATCTTTACTACTTTTCATCTCGCTAGATCGTTTGTCACGGCCTTGAATTTTTACTCCCAGCGCGCGTAAAGTTTCACTTCAAAAATAAATTTAAAATCGTTGAGTGAAATAAAGATCCCATCAGAATCATAGAATGTAAAAAAATACCAACTCTCGCAACGCAATGTTGTGAGATCAATGTAAAACCAAGTCAGTTGAATTGAATCAAGATTTTTCAGCTGGAATAATAAATTATAATACAATATTAATACCTTCTGAAGATATCAAAATTATTGCTTTTTATTTTTATTTTTAGAATTTTCACAAATTATACTTCCTAACACTTTTAGTTTATTGTTATACGTCTATTTGTTATACTAGTTGTTTACGATATTCTGCGATGGTGGCAGCACCGGCAGATAATGCACCAAGTCTATCATTTGTTAGACATCTTTATCAATATTAGACATCTTTATTTCTGTAATAATTATAATTATTTGGCAAAAAAAGTGTACTCCACAGAGTAATATACCGGGTGTTGCATCGTCGGACGGGGCCTAGGAAATCACATGTAAATTTTAATGGGGTCAATTATTGACTTCCCTAATTATTTTAGAGAATAATTCTATTTAAGTTTATTGAAGAGCACTAAATCCACATTCAAAAGAATAACTTTAGATATTTTTGATTAGCTCGTTTACGAGTTATCGCCGATTTCTTTTTAAATATTTCTCCTTTCTTATGGCCCTGTATTTACTTATGAGCACCAGTCAAGGTAAAAGATAACTGTCAAATGAAGTTGTCATTTCAGAAATTTTCCTATTTAGTGCTTTATTATTATTGAAAACTCATTCCTACATCGGAAATCTTAAAAATGTATTTATAAATACAAATTAATATGAATTGAAGTAAAATAAAGTAATACATTACAAGGTTAATTATAGTACTATTACAATATTCAATAACTTATTAATTTAGGTACTATTAAATTGTTAGAACTTTAGGATTTAAGCAGATGTTCAAATATTCCTCCATCGACTGCTAGACAATAACCTAGGCGATCATAAAATTCTCTTCTTACATTCGCTAGTTGGTAAATTGAAATTCTATTGCATTCGGCAGAAATTTTTTAACTCGTCTAGATTTGGGTATTTTTTATCCTTGTATATCCTGTTTTTTAAATGGCCCCAGAGAAACAAATCATTTGGCGAAATATCAGGAGACCTTGCTGGCCAATTTACTGTATGATTTAGACCAATAACGTTTCCGTTAAAACTATTGCCTAAATATTCCCGAACAGCCAGGGTACTATATGCCGGGCAGCCATCCATTTGGTACCAAACTTCCTGATTTTCCCTAGCGGCATCATGTAAAGCAGGTAAAATATGATTTTCGAGTAGTTCCAAATAATATTCTGCATTTAAATTTCGCGTAAGAAATAATGGCTCGATAATATTGGGTCCTTGTAGAATATCCCTGTCCAAACATTTACTTTCTGTGGATATTGCGTCCTTGTTTCGACAAACCTGTGTTGGTTTTCTTTGTTCCAATATCGATAATTTTGAACATTGGGCTCATTATTTAAGGTAAACGTGCATTCGTCAGTGAAACATATGTTTATAAAAAATTCCCTATCCGTGTTTGCTCTTTCCATCATATCAAAACAAAACGTCTGCCGCCGTATTTCGTCCCCATCACGTAGCTCTTGGTGCTTTTCATATTTGAAGGAAAAGTATTTATGTCGTTTCAAAATTCGAAACGCTGTAGTGTGATCTATTCATATTTCATCCTCAAGTTTCCTTGTGCTGATCTTTCCATCGTTCTCTTCCACGCACAATAAAACTTCCAAGTCGTATCATTTCTTGTATCTTCTCTTTCTTCCTGCCTTGCTTCACATCTGAAGTTATTTATTAGGGTACCTTTGGTCTCAAATCTCTGAATATTCCTTGCGATTGTAGATTTTCCAGGTATCGGTCTATTCGGATACAGAGCAGCAAACATGTCCGACACCTTTTGATAACTATTTCCTTGATAATACCATTTAATCATCAATACTTTTTCTTCGGTAGTGTAATTCATGGCTTATATTTTCGATGTAGGTATGAGTTTTTAATAATAATAATAAAGCACTAAATAGATAAATTTCTGAAATGACAACTTCATTTGACAGTGATATTTTACCTTGACTGGTGCTCAATTGACCCCATTAAAATTTACATGGGATTTCCTATGTCCCGCTCGACGATGCAACACCCGGTATATTTCATATCAATTAAACTTTTAGTTACGTAATCGAGCGCATGCATTTTAAATTCATTGTTGCCAACCATGGACACATTCAGCGCCGTACTGACCAAATGGAATTTAAATTTCGCGCTGGGGATTCAGGTGGTAGCTCTGCTGCAAAAAATGCCATGCTCCTGACATTGTACTCGTTTTGATACCTTAGTTTTGTATTACAAGTTTTTGGTTTAAATAAATAATGTTATGCTACTTTAAGCTTGAAAATGTTTACTAGTAGACCTTGCAGTCGAACATTGTTCTTTTTAGAACCTCTTTTAGTGCGAAGTGTACAAGATCAAAAAACTCATTGGATCTTTATTAGAATATTTTGAACGGGAAAGCGGTAGTAATAGCCCTTTATGTCCCTTAGGTGCTGTTAAGAAGGTGAGTTTTGTTAATGTAAATAATAACTGTTTATATATTTATAATTAGTTTATTTTTGTGTCCTAAAATATTTTGATTAAAAGAAAATATATAACAGTGGGCAACGGTGTGCCGGTGAAGCTTAATCACCTGACTAAAACTATTTGGAATGAACTGTACTAATAAACTCCTGTATGCAAACAAGCAAATAAGGATTCGATTGTTATTTCTAAAATAATCTAAAATTTAAATAAGGATTTTAATAAACAACATTTCGATTTATGTCGGACTGGTCTCGCGAGAAATCATCTAACCGTATTATATAATAAAATCCGGGGAAATAACTTCTAGTCAACGCGTTTTGTTTATTTTCCGCTTGACTTATTCGCTCCAAAATAGAACCCTCGTCTGTGGCCGATGATGGACAAAAGCAGTGGCAGCGCCTGGTTTAATAATATGGTAGTGCAAAACGAAATTAACCCTTTATGTGCTATCAAATCGTCAATAAAAGGTTGCAAATTAGACAATTTTATTTTATTAAAAAATGAATATCCAAAATTTGTTGTCTTTAAATATTGTATGCTCATGTCCAGTCGGACTGGGCCAGAGGGGTCCTCAAGCCTAGGGTAATGTTACATGAGACACTCTGAGTCGATAATGTCTAAATTAAAAATGAAAGTTCCAATCTGTCAATTATACGAGGGAAAAAAATGTTTATATTTTAGTGAAAGTTTGAAATACCCTGTGGAATATGTTAAGACAGCAATGAATTTAAATTATTTCATCATCTCGGTACACCCTTTCTCGTTTTCTCGATAGTTTAAATTTGGTTCATCTCAATCGCTTTATTTTTGTTGGATATATCCGCTTTTGAAGAACACGCTAACATTTTTTTCGTAATTTTTACATTAAAACCATGTGTTATTTGCTTTTGATTCTAGTTGACAGACCTATATAATGAAATAACTATATGATCTATGTATTAAATAACAACCAAGCCAACTCTGACGCCGTTCTTTGTTTAATCATATAATATTATATTAAAATATTTAATGATAGAAAATCCGCATTTTTAACGTACTGTACCCAAAATCCAATTGCAACCTTTAATACTAGAACTCTACTTTCTGAAGAAAGTTTTACCGAAATGGAAAAGGAATTGGAAAAGATAAGATGGGATATTGTCGGAATGAGCGAAGTCAGGAGACGAGGTGAAAGTCTCGAGACCCTAAAATCTGGTCATTTGTTTTACTATAATGGAGAACAACAGCAGTCAATAGGAGGTGTGGGTTTTTTTCATAAATAAGAGGTTAGCAGAAAGCCTGAAAATCATCCATTCAGTATCCACTAGAGGAATATACGCCATTTTTAAAATAAACACTAGATACAACCTAAAAGTAGTTCAAGTTTACGCTCCAACAACAGAACATACAGACGAGGAGATTGAGACTTTTTATGATGATTTATGTACAGCTATCTCAAATAACCATACACATTTCACTGTCGTATGCAGTGACTTTAATGCCAAATTGGGAACGAAATTAGATCCATCAGAAACTCCCTTAGGCAACTTTGGAAGCCCAGGACGAAATGATCGTGGTGACATTCTTTTAAATTTCCTATTAGAGAAAAACTTGTTTCAAATGAACAGTTTCTTCCACAAGAAACCCCATTGCAGATGGACATGGAAAAGCCCAGATGGCAGAACGAAAAACGAAATCGATTACTTTATCACTGACAAAAGGTACATATTTAGTGATGTAACGGTCCTTAAAAATTTGCAAAATCAAGTGACCATCGAATGGTGAGAGCCACAATTATATTAAACGCCAATTACGAACGGCACAAAATGATAAGGAAAAAACAAAGTAAGACATGGACACACTAAATAAGGAAATATCAAGAGAAATCAGAAAAGACTGCATCAAGAGAAATCAGAAAGCACAGAAACGAAAAAATTGTTAAAACTATCGAGGATAATAAGAGCTTGAAAATAATGAGACGCAAGCTCACTAATGGAAAAAAAGAAATCGTCAAACTCAAGGACAAAAATGGTAATATAACATCTAATAGAGAACATTTATTACAGATTGTGGAAACATTCTATGAAACACTATACACCAACCATTCTACTCTAGACTCGAGGAAGTACCTACAAGGAAAGGTTCAAAATCAGGGTTCTGAGGATGTTCCGGAAATCTCTGTAAGTGAAATTTACAATGCTCTAAAAAAGATGAAGAACAATAAAGCTCCGGGGGATGATGGTGTCGTCACAGAAGCGATAAAGATGGGAGGAACAGTATTAATGACCAATATTCAACGGCTGTTCAATCTCTGTCTGGAAAATCAAAATATCTCTACAAAGTGGAATAACTCAATAATTATCCTCTTACATATAAAAGGAGACATAGCAGACCCGGAAAATTACAGACCAATTAGTCTTCTTAACCATCTTTATAAACTATATACCCGAATTATAATAAATAGACTAGAGGAAAAATTGGACTTCTACCAACCTAAAGAGCAAGCTGGTTTCCGTTCCGAATTTGGTACCAACGATCATCTGCAGTGTTTAAAAACCTTAATAGAAAAAACCATCGAATACAATCGTCCCCTAGCACTGATATTTGTCGATTTTAAAAAAGCGTTCGATACGGTAGAATTACCGGCCATCCTAACAGCGCTACAAGAATGTAGAATCGACCATCGATATTGTAACATAATAAAAAACATATATGACAATGCTACAGCAACTGTAAATCTATATTCCACAACTAACCAGATAAAAATAAAAAGGGGAGTTAGGCAGGGCGATACCATGTCGCCAAAATTGTTTATTACTGTTCTTGAGCATGCATTCAAAATGCTGGCTTGGCAACAAAAAGGAATAGTTATCGATGGAGAGAGACTCAACCACCTACGCTTTGTGGATGATATCGTTATAGTGTCAGATAGTCTGGGAGAGATCAAAGACATGCTTCAAGAACTTAACGCTGCATTACACGAGATTGGACTAACAATAAATTTTGACAAGACTAAGATAATGACTAATATGGTGCCCAGCGAACACAAACAAATTCACAACAACAGAATAGAATTAGTCCACAAATATGTATACTTGGGCCATGAGATCAAAATAAGCAGAGAAAACCTGTGAACTGGCTAGACGAATTACCTTGGGATGGGCGGCTTACGGAAAAATGAGGGACGTCTTTAGAGCAAATATCCCAATACACCTGAAAAGAAAGGCATTTAACCAATGTATCCTCTCGGTTTTGACCTATGGCGCAGAGACACTCACTCTAACAAAAGCAACCGCAGAAAAATTGAGAGTGACACAGAGGCGGATGGAGAGGTCTATGATTGGCCTGACTTTGAGAAATCGAGTAAGAAAGGAAGAGATACGCCGATGTACGGGAGTGGATGATATTATCAAGCGAATCACAAAACAAAAGTGGCGATGGGCTGGACACATTGCTAGAATGGCAGACGGGAGATGGACAAAAAACTTATAGAGTGGAGACCAAGAGCCGACAAGCGTAGCCAAGGCAGACCTCCCACCCGATGGACCGACGACCTGAAACGAATAACAACTAACTGGATTACAACAGCTAAAAACCGCGAAAACTAGAGACGTTTGGAGGAGGCCTATGTTCAACTATGGACGTGAAAGGTGATGATGCGTGATGATGATGACCCGAAATCCGTAAATCTACAAATTAATGACTAGTTCTGACAACCCTATCTCCGGCAACCACTCACTCTGTCGACTGAAAGCAGAACTACGACACAGTATTCTTTATCCGCTGCGCTGTAAACGACTATCAGCACGCAGCAGCGCAGATTTAAACTAAATCTCGGAATTCTTGGACAAGATGACGATAACGCCAGCTACATCTCAGACAGGTTTTGTGTCACGAAATTGCCCATAAGGTTGAGCAACTTCTTATTTCTTCAGTCAACGCAATTCTAATGAACTTCACGTTTGTTTATCTATTTTCGGTTGGAAACGGATACGCTTTTGAAAAACTCGGTCTGAATCAGAATCTTCATCATTTAATTCTTCAACTTCAAGTACATTCTAGCTTTGGTCACTTCATCTGCATGGTCAGTATTTTAATGCATGCGACAGAGATAAATATAGTAAATGACCGGTTGACAGACAGAGAGACAAAATTAAAATCGGCACACAGTGTTGCCGGTTTTTACGCTAGTAGGAAAATTTGTGTAGAAAAATATAAACTACTAGCGTGTACCAGCGATTTCGTTCGCGTCGAATTAATCATTTGTAATGGTGATGATAAAGCAAAGCAACAATTTCCATTAACATACAAACTAGATAAAATTTTCTCACATTTATGTCAGCATGAGAAAAAACAATATGGCGATATTATTATATACCTTGGTAATATTTAAGGGGTAGTTTCATCTCGTTGGAATTTAACTTTCTAAAAATCCGTTTGCCAGAAATAAGCTTTTCATGTCAAGCAGTTTAAGCAGAATCGTGGTTAAGAAATTACCCAACTTTTTGGAACACCCTCCATGATTTTTAAAAAAAAATCAAAATATGTAAAAAAACCAAATAAATTATGCTTGTCCAAGCGTTTTCCCGAAAGACTAACCGTTTTTTAAATAATAAATATTGTAATATTTGAGGGGCGTTTTCACCCTCTTGGAATTAGAGATTCGAGAAACCCCTCCTTATCGAACCTCTACACCCCACAGTCAATCCGTTTGCCAAAAATCAGCTTTAAACGTCAAGCAGTTCAAGCAGAATCGTGATTACTCAATGGTCATATTTTATGAAACACCCTGTATAAATTTATAAAAAATCTTAAAATATGTAAAACAACAAAATAAAATATACGTGTTTAAGAGTTTTTCTGGAAAACTCTCCGGTTTTTAAATAAAAAATATTTTAATGTTTGAGGGATAGTTTCACCTCCTTAGAATTCGAGTTTCGAAAAATCCCTTCTTATCGAACCTCTATACCCTAAAGTCAATCTGTTTTCCAAAAATCAGCTTTTTACGTCAAGCGCTTTAAGCAGGATCGTGATTAATCAATGGCCAGATTTTTCGAAACACCCTGTATACATTTTTAAAAAATCTTAAAATAATTAAAAAAACAAAATAAAATATACGTGTTTAAGCATTTTTTCGGAAACTTGGCCGTTTTTTAAATAAAAAATATTGTAATATTTGAGGGATGGTTTCACCCTCTTGGAACTGGAATTTCGAAAAATCCCTTCTTATCGAATCTCTACACCCTAGAATCAACCTGTATGCCAAAATTGAGTTTCTTACGTTGAGTGGTTTAAGCAGGATCGTGATTAATCAGTATGTCAGTCACTTTAGGATTTTATATATTAGTATAGATTTTAAAAAGTTTCATGTATACCACTGAAATGAAGATAATATAACTAAGCTAAATATATTAATCTATTATCAGTTGTAGTAAAATGAATAACTAAATTGTGAAAAATAAAGTTCCATTGAAAATAAAAACATAAGTATGCCAGCAAAATTATTGTTATTATTAAATTGATCTCTGTGTAGTTATGCCATCATCAGCTAGAGCTATTCAGCTTTTCGTTAAGAATCCTATCTCAGCCAAATGCTGAAATTAACAATAGGGTTCGCCGAAATGCGGGTCTGAGGAACAACCATACCTATTCAATTTCTTTGGCTGGCATATCAGATTGAATCAAACATAATGTACAAAGAAGAAAAAAGATGTAAAATATGTCATAAGAAATTAAATTCTGTGCATTTGGGTAGTTTATAAATTAGCTCTGGATATATATTTCATATCAATTAAACTTTTAGTTACGTAATCGAGGGCGCAACTTTTTAAATTCATTGTTGCCAACCATGGACATATTCGGCACCGGGCTGAGTAACTGAAATTTAAATTTCCCGCTGGGGATTCAGGTAGTAGCTCTGCTGTAAAAAATGTCAAGTTGCCACAATTTTTATATTTTTTGATAAGGAATCAACGAGTATTTATTTAACTCTTTGGCAAGTTAATGACTTTATTTTTTCTAAAGGTTATTGCTATTATATATACAGGGTGTCCCAGAAATAAGTGCAAGTATTTTAACTGGTAGTATAGTTCAACCCTAGAAACACGCCTATGAGGTTTTTTCGCGAAATTTTTTTTTTGAAAATTCGAAATTTTTTGAAAAAAGTTTTGAATTTTTTTTAGTTTTTAGTCAAAAAACATAATTTCTTGATAATATGGCAACATAGATAGGTAATAGATTAAATTTACATGAAAGAAAATCCAGAAAAGACCCAGTGGTTCTCAAAATTTTAGCAAAAAAACATTTTTTTTTTTGAAATTTTCAAAGTAAAACAACTCCGTTATTTTGGACTTATTTGAAAAAACGATAAAGAGAAAATATGTTTCTTTTATCGATATCTATCACCCTTTAAAATATTTTGCACTTATTTCTAGGACACCTTGTATAGACTTGGATTAAGGCAAATTAATAAAATTGCGTGTATCTCATCAAGGAGACCGAAATTGACAAAATATCAAGAGACAACTTTTAATCAGCATTTAACGGTCTACACAATTTTACTAAAGTAAAAAGGCAGTGGCGCACAATTTTTTTAGAGAAATATTCCAGTGATATTTTTTGATATTTTTTTCACGTCTCTGGTAAATACGTTGACACTTTTTTAGCATTAAAGTATGACGCACTCATAGTAACTTTTACATTCAAATTTTCATTCGAATGGCTAAAAGCACTTGGAAGAACATTATAATAAATCGAAAAAAAGCAGAATTGGACTTGTAGAATGT